ACAAGAAGCAAGCAAAGTACAGCTACATGCATGCATTCTTCTTCTTAATTACTGTTTTCACAATGAGAGTCATAAACAGAGAGCCATCACACACTAAAAGGGAAGCCTAGGGTTTACTACCTGAGTCACAAAGTTACTTGCTTGTATTCATCTACATGCACGTATTGCTTGAGGGATACTGGGGGAGGAGGGGTGCTGAATGTTTGCTTATTAAGCCAATAAATATTTCTCCTGTAATAATAATATGTAATATTGAATATGTAGTGATGATGAAAGTAATGATGCAGTCAAAGTAAATTAATTATGAACTTTGAAACTTAAAATGTTGAATGCAGTTGTATCCCAATAGAAGTAAGAACTATTGTATATTATAGATAATGTCTTTAAAATTATAACAAAGGTGATGTGAGGTAAAACATTTTATGTCTTATACATTTTGTATTACATGATAGTTCTGGACAAACACAATTATGTTATATAACCCTTCCCCCCCTTTCCCTTTTCTTTTCTGCACCCCTACTGTCTTCCTAAGTAAATAAATAGATTCGGAGGGGGGGATTCTGCTGTTGAGGGAGAGAGGGTTTGTCTTGTGTTCAAGTAGCTTAGAGGGGCCTGAAAGTCTGTCAGATGTGTTTAGTTACTGACATTAGTATGTCCCCCCCCCTCCTTTTCCGTGTGACCTACTAACATCAGGGTTGGTTTACTGGAGAAATATTTTTACCTTCTGGGTATCTTGGTCAGGATGTGGCTTGTTGGTTCACCCAGTCTGTCCATCTGGGGCATGTTTGTCATCTGAAAACTATAGGCCAATCTGTTCAGATGTGAAGTTTCTTGTATTGAGGCAGATGGCTGGATTGGAGAATGATTGACCTATCCTTTTGATTTTGTATTCTTTTCAGGCAATATATTGTTTTGAGGCTAGCTTTGTCTTATCAGAGCTCTAGGCATCATGTAAGAATTCTGTTGATTAGAGGAAATATCATAGAAGGATTACGATACAGCTGAGCAATAAACCTTTTGGGGTAATGCCTTACACAACTGCTCAGAGCCTAAAGTGGGTTGGCTTCTGTGTGAACCAGGATGCTGGACTAGATGAACCACTGATTTCATCCAGCAGGGCTTTTCTTATATACTAATATATTGGCAGTGTTGTAAATTCATACGCATTTTACAGCTTTGTCTTTCGGAATTTTTATTTTCCCTGGTAGTGTTTTGAGACAAGCAGTGTGAGAGCCATCTGGAGCACAATGACCCAGTACTGAATCAAAGAAATGCCTCATGCTTAGGTATCTTTGTTCCAAGAAAAGCAGCTTCCCTTCATTCCAAAGAGGGAGGGTGGGGAGAGATAAATGTTCAAAAAGGAGGCATCAACTTGGGTCTGGAAGGCATACAGAATTGCCCTCATAAACTATCCAGTTTTGCCTGTTTTATAAAGAATCCTGCAGAGGAGAAGGCTGACTTCTGGCCTTCTGCTCTTTATCATTCTATGAAAGGAAAAGTCTTTTTTGTCTGTGACACCCCACATTGTGTGGATTTAGTTGCCTAAACTACAATGCCAAGACTAAGGCCATACAGTCTGGAAAATCTACAATTAATGAACTCCGGCCGTTAAAGCCTTCGACAACATATTAAAAAATAATATTGTTAATTGAATTTGCCTGTGTCCTTTGTAATGTTTGTATCTCCCGTACCTGGCATTACATTTTATGGTAAACATGGCCCTGCCCAACAAAGGTCAGATCCGGCCCTTATAACAAATGAGTTTGACACCCAATGTTAGGATATCAAAGTCAGAGTTGTCTACTCAGACTGGCAGCACTCTGGGGTCTCAGGCAGAGGTCTTTCACATCACTACTTAGTCCTTTCAACTGGAGATGGCAAGGACCTTCTGCTCTGCCACTGAGCTGCAGCCCCTAACTCTTCAAATCAAGGTACTGGTGTAGATATTTAAAGCTCTATGTGGCTTAGGACCAGCATACTACCTTACAAGACTACCCAATCATTACAGTTATCTTCTGAGACCCTGTTTTGGGTGCCCCTGCCTTCTGACATTAGATGGGTGGCAACCCTGGAGAGGGCCTTCTTGGTTGTGGCACGAGAACTCTGGAACCCTCTCTCCAGGGATACTATTCTGTCTTGCCATCTTCCGCCAGTGGGTGAAGAGGTTTTTTTCATTTGGCATTCCCTCAGTGATCCCCCATCTTTTGCCCTATGTTGTAATTGCTGTTTTTAAAACTTTCATATGTGTCCTTTAGTTTTGCTTTTATTTCTTTTAATTATGTGTTTTTGTTTGGTTTTAATGGCTTTTAAAATGATATGTAAAGTTTTAATTTTAATCTATTAGCAGCCTTGATGAGGGGCAAAAAGTACAGTATAAATTCTGTAAATAAATAAAATATAATTTAGATTACAACAGGCTAGAAACGGAAAGCAGCATTCAACACCAATGTGTTTCAGATAGCTAATTCAATCATCCAGTAGAAAAAATGTATGTTGTTCTCTTTCTGAAGTGTATTACTTCAGACTGCAGGTAAAGGCTTCATGTTTGATCCTGTACAAGAAACACACGCCAGGAGTTTTATCCCAGCTTTCTCTCTGTCGTGATAGTTTTCTGTATATAGAGAAAAGCTGTGGGTTGTTTTTTGTTGTTATTTTTGTTTTGTTTTTAAATATTGGGGATCTTAGAAATGTAGGATCCTTGTGGGCCATCTGAATTGGTATAGTCCAGATGCAAATCTGGTAACTAATGGAAAATACCTCAAGGGACCTCTTTGGGGAAGGAATCTGTCTTTTAGGGGATATACACTACTTTGCCTTTAGGTCTTGTTTGTGTGATGACTTGGATTCTGGTATGGTGGACTTCTCAGCAAGAAAGGTACTTGTTCTTTGACCCTGGTAGATGCTTGGAAATGAGTCTCTTGTCAGAACTTTGGGAGCCCTGGCTCACAAAAATGTATCCAGAGATTGGGTATGGTGTGGTGGTATGGGATATTTGAAGTGGCCAATAGGTTCCCTGATCTGGATTAAGCCAGTAAGAGTTTGATTCATTGATTAAAACAAGTTTCAAAAGAGAGACATCTATCTACATATTAGTGTGATAGGAGAGGACAAGAGTCGCACGCCCGTGATACTCACGGGGGGATTTCATATCCCCACACACACTTTCTCCCCAAGCTCCGTTGCAGCTGCCAGACCCACTGACCCCTTGGTGGCTTGTCTGGAGCTGCTCCAGATGGCCTCACTAAGGCTTCCTTCCCCCCCACTTCCCTCTCTCAGTGGCTCTTCCAGAACTCCAGAATTGCTCCAGACAGTGTTGTCAAGGCTTCCTTCCCCCCACCCCCCGGTTCCAAGGCTCCCTCAGCATCTGGGCCGTGGGAGACTGACCTGGCACAACGGAGCCTCGGGGGAAGCAAGGAGGCTGCCGACCAGCAGAGCGATGCCACAAGGCCCGATCCCCCGACCAATGCTGAGCCCTTGAACTTGGAGGAGGTGCAAGGAGGAGGCCTCAGGACACCTCAGCCAGGCCAGACCGTGTGAGGTGACAGCAGACCCGAGTGGGCTGTCAACTGGCTGCCGGGCGAGCAGAGCATTAGCGGGAGGAGACCAGGGCCGGCTCGCAGCCCTTCACCAGGAGAAAGATTAAACGGGCGAAGTGCGGCCGGGCTCAGATTTGTGGAAATAAGTATCCGCACATAGGGGGCATGTTGGGAGTTAGATATATAGATAGGATAGAGGAAAGAGATGGGGATTGGTTCATCCTCCCATATTGTATCTCTCATAGCAACCACTTAAATTTATATAGTAATGCCCTGAAAATAAAGTATACGAGTAAGTGAAAATAACGTATGTACTTGTGTATGCTATAGTGTCTAAAAGTGATACATGTTTCTGTTTAACTTGAATACATATTTAAATAAGTCAGAGAAGGCATATAGTCCTCCCATACTTAGGTATACCCCAAGCAGGGAAATAATCACTTGGGCAGAGATAGAATCCTTGATTCAAACTCATTTTTTAAAAAAAAACAAACCTTGGTATTGTGGCACCGAGAAACACCATGAAGTTGCACTAAAAATAGTTTTTAGTGTCTTAAGTTGCATGCTTTCAAAACTCTCTTTTAAAAGTTGTTAATTATGCAAATGAATTTAAGTATCTTCTGTGGTAAAATTCAAAACACTGTGCTAATTCTTATGGTTGAGAGGGTTTTATTAAAATACCGTCTGTTTCAGATGTATACATAGGAAATTTCAGAGCAAAGCTATCAATGGACAGGTCCCCACTTTGAATGCATTAGATTGGGTAGCTGCCTCTGGGCCCCAGATGATGTTTTCTCTTCCTTGACAGAACTTCGAAGTAAAGGCCGATGACCTGGAACCAATATCAGAACTTGGACGTGGTGCATATGGGGTGGTAGAAAAGATGCGGCACGTGCCCAGTGGGCAGATTATGGCAGTAAAGGTAGAGTGAGAATCCTTGGTTGTTTACAGTATGTGTATGCATTGACCTCCTAAATTTTGCTGGTATGCTCTTTTTCAATTCTGCTATATATGAAGAAGGGTAGGTTTTTACACCCCGCTATTTCTCTACCTTACGAAGTCTCAAAGCTGGTAACAATTACATTCCCTTCCTCTCCCCACAAGAGGCACCTTGCGAGCAGTGTTCCCTCTAAGCTGAGTTAGTGTGAGCTAGCTCAGTTTTTTAGCCTCTGGCTCACACATTTTTGTCTTAGCTCAGGAAGGATGGCTCCAAGACAAACTAGTTTATGCAGCAGCCAAATCGCTCGCTCACAACTTTAATGCCAGTAGCTCACAAAGTAGGATTTTTGCTCACAAGACTCCACAGCTTAGAGGGAGCATTGCTTGTGAGGTAGGTGGGACTGAGAGAGTTTTGAGAGAACTGTGACTGGCCCAAGGTCAACCAGCAGGCTTCTTGTGGAGGAGTGGGGAATATAGATTCCTATATGTACTGAGGTGCTGACCCAAGGAAGAGAACATTTGAGCCTGCCTGTGCAGGAAAGGCGGGATATAAATCAAAAATAATAAATAAAATAATATAAATAAATTTGGAGAGCTATATGTAGCAGTCTTGAACTGCCAACATTCATTAAGTCCTGTGTGTGCAAAACAGCATGATCCGGTTTCAAAGCAATTAGGTAGAACGTTTAGAATATCGGGATATAGGACACCTATATCCTGGTTGAACAAAATATATATCAGACTGCCCAATTTCTACAAGTTGTATTTCCATTCAAGAATACAACTTTTCATTGTTTCCCTTTACACTTGATTTTCAAGCTACAGTGGTTTGAATTATGCAGCTAGGATTATACAGATCTCTTCATCACTGTCATGTCCTTGGTCTGATACAAGGATTTGAATGATCTTAACTGGATCATTTTGACTTTGCAAAATATGTGTTAACTTTAATTGTATTTTCCAAATGGGTGAGCAGCACCTTTCATAATAGAGTGAAGCATTTATGTAATGGGCTTATTAACTTATGAATTGGCTGTTTGTTGTTTGCTGTTAGTTCTGTTCAACCAAGGCAAGACTGTAAGAGATGGGATGTGCAGATGAGCATTTCAATCTATCCTGTTGGTATGGCTTTTCTACTTAGTATGACAGGTTTGCCTTCAGGCATGAACTCCAGATACATTCAGAAAGCAATCTTGTTCTGTGTTTGCTATTTGCTAACATTCCTGTTGCCTCTCTCTCTCTCTATGTAGTATGTATGTATGTATGTATGAATCAAAGGGTGAGCAAGTTAATATGGGGAATTGTTGGTATTATGGACAAAAGAGCTGGTCTGAATGTAAATAGTTTGATATTAACAAGCACTTTTGGAAAAAGTACAGCCAGCTTTATTTTCATGTTAGTCACCCCGCATATAATCATCCAGGTTTACTTGATTTTTATGGTTAGTTGATGCTTCTGATTTTATATCAGTTATTAGTGTATTTTATATGTTCCCATAAAGAGCCTTCTGTAATGATTTCTTCCCCGAAAAACTGTCCTGTTAATAAATGTTTGGTGTTATATAAGATTATTTTTACATAAGTGTCACACAATGAAAGTAATTGATTCAAATGTACAGTATTTTCATTTTGAACTCTTCCAGTCAGAAACAGATAGGGTTGCCAGGTCTGTGGAAACACCAGTGGAGGGATGGGGGGACATTCTGGGAGCTGGAAATGACGTAGGCACGCCAGTGACATTGGGGGCGACACTCTGGTTTTGGGGCAAAACTCTATGGTAAAATCAGCCTCAGACCATAGAGTTTTGTCTCCAAACGAGAGCATCGCCCCCCCCCAAGTCACATTTATTTCTGGCGATGTCACTGTTGGGGGGGGGATTTCCTCCTGTCAGCCAACTGGCAGTGAGGAACCCACAAAACCAGGGAATCCCCCACCCCCATCTGGGGAATGGCAACCCTAGAAACAAAAAACAATTTATTTGAAACCTTTTTATATTTCCAGTTCTCGAGAAACAGTTTGCTTATATCAGTGTTGTTCCACTGTAGTCTGTTTATTTAATTTAATTTATTTATTTATTTATGTTTGGATTTATATCCCGCCCTACCCCGAATGTAAATGATCATTGGTTTGTTCATTTGATTTGTAAAAATGAACCTTTGGGACCAATGGCATGCTATTGTATCCTCATATAATACAACCAACTGCAAAATCCCTTTGATTTAAAAAAAAATATTTCTAAAAAAAACAACAGTAAAAATAACTTTTAAAAATCCAATTAATAATAAGCTGACTAAGTCTTCATTTAAGATCCATGAAGAGAGCAGGTATAAACTTTGGCCATATCCCATTGCTTGGCAAAATAGGCCATCTAGCTCCTTATTCCATTCGTTTCTGAAACTTTACATATCATCTTTATTAATAGGCATCAAATATTTATAAACAAATATTGTAGGTTTGTTTTCTGCTTTGATTCAATTAGAGTTTCCGGGAGCAAAGGAGACTTTGAGATACTTGAAGGTAGTAAAAATGCTTAACCCCCTTCAGGGAACAAGCAGGAAGCTATAACTACTCTCTTCCTGTCTACCTACAATCCCAAGCTGTTCGAATTCTAGCACATCAGTACTAGCTTCCAGGTTCTTTGACACATGGCCCAAAGCCAATCATGGCTTAGCCCTACTTGAGATCCCGAACATACAGTGAAACCTTGATTTAACTTGCTAAGCTAAGGTCTGCTTTGGGAGAATATAGTGAACTGCCAACAAAATCTGCTTCATGCTGGAAGCAGAAAGGTAGGGAAACTATTTTAACCATGGTTTGCTTGATGAGGCAGATAAAATGCTTAACCATGGTTAATACAACCATGCTTTGCAAATACTTTTCAAACCTTTCTTTTGCATTCTGGTTTGCCGCTAATCCTTCAACATGATTTAAGACTTAACTGTGGCTAAGAAAACAGCCATGGTTAAAGCATTATGCCTATATAGATCCAATCAGTCTGATTGAAGCTCCACAGAAGCTTCAGTGCACATACACCTCTCCAACATGATCAAGGGTCTTCCTGTTCAGTTCAGTGTTGAGGACCTCTGTATGAATGCTATAGATGTATGTGCATGCACAAACATGTGTGGACACCCACCCTAGCAAGTGAATGGAAAAGTCCTTGCTGCGTGCACTTGAGATGTTACACATGCAAATAGCTGCTGAATTAAAGCAGAAGTGTGTGGTGCTGAATATGGACCTCTTTTAGTAATTACCCTGCACAAAATGTTCTGCCATCATAGCCTGGGTAATGATGGTAGAACAGAGAGAGAAAAAAGAGAAAGAGGTAAAGAAAGCACTTCTGTAATAACAATCATCCTTTGCCCTTCTATAGCACCTCACATCCGAGGATCTCACAGTGCTTCCCAGACATAAATTACGCCTGTGAGGTAGGTAAGCATTATTATCCTCATTTCACAGAGGCGTAAAGAGGCTTAAATCATCAAATGCGGCCTCTGATTTTTGAATGCCTCTTATGAGCCACTTGAAGTGTAAGCCTATTCATAGTTACTCAAAAATAAGGCATACTGCAGGTAAGTTTGCTTACGATTGCAACCTTATTGCCTGATGTCACAAAGTTCAAGTTTGTCTGAAGGGACTAGCACTCAAGAGTAAGGGATTCCGAAATTACTTTCTCTGCTGGCTTAAAGTTCTGTGACTGTTATCAATTTTTTTTTTAAGCCCAGGTTTGAGGCTTCCTGTTGGTTAACTGTTAGGTTGGTTAAGAAGGAGATAAAAGTCGCCTTAGAAACATGGAGGTGCAGTTTTGCTTGGTAAAATGAGCTGAGTCACATTCTTGTAGCTTCTATGATCTTGGATTAGTTTTTTGGATGAATTGATGGCTTCGAAACAGAGGTGTGAAAATTAACAACAGGTCTATCTTCCAGCGAATCCGGGCAACTGTGAACAGCCAGGAGCAGAAGAGGCTGCTGATGGACCTAGACATTTCCATGAGGACAGTAGACTGTCACTTCACTGTCACATTCTACGGTGCATTGTTTCGAGAGGTACCATATCTGTTGGTCCTGGGTATCCATCAAACTTGGGCTGCAGTCATAGATTCACTTCCCTGAAAGTAAGCCCCACTGAACACAGTGGGACTTACCTCTGAGTTACTTGCTTAACAATTGTACTGATGGTATATATTCCGGTGCGATGGTATAAGTGCGCTCTCAAGCTTGGACCAGTTTTGAAAAAAGAAGAGTGAGGGATACCACAGAGCATTAACAAAAGGACTCAGTGTCTTTTTTTGTTGTTTACCACAGGGGCAGAAAACCATAGGATTTAATACTTAAAGACCACTTAGCTGCTTGTAGTTTTAACACCTCTTAATTACCTTATTCTACACATAATCAAACAGTTAAAGTATTTTTTTTAAGGCGGATTGTCCTCCTTTGTGCCTTGAGTATATTTTATTGATGAGGTGGGTTTTCTGACATGCATAGCAACCAGTAAATAATTTTCTTTTTCCGTTTCTCACTTCCCCGGTACTGGTATTGCCTATTGCTTCCTTCTATTATCTAGTGCAGTTTTAGTATCCTTTCCAAAAACTACATCCCAGAAAACAGGAAAGAAAGTTTAAATGCCAAAATCAGGGCTGCCCCCCCCCAATTGATATTTCATGCCATGCAAAAAGAATTGTAGACACTGAATGTCCTACTTTAGTTTTGTATAATGTAGAGGTTTGGAGAGGGGGAAGATGGCATTTGCTTTAGCCCAGTTTCTTTCCCTTTCCCTTGATTTAACAGCATTTTTTTAGTCATCTCACAAAAAAAAGTGAAAATGAAAGTCAGTTCCCCCTTGACACTATAAAGAGAAAAACTGACACATCTCATATGATGTTCGCCAGTCTACTTGATAGCAGGCAGCACAAAAAGTGTTGTTAGGTATTTTATCCAAGGAGTAATATATTTGTTTCATGTGGTATTGTTTTGGAGACATACTAAAACAATAATAGCTAGGGAATCTACTTGATCCAGACAATAAGGGCATTTGTGTTCCTTTGCAGGAATTCTATTATATCTCCCTTGCATCTCCGCAAAGTCTAAGGCGTTACACTTTGCCAATAGAAAAGCTTGTCTAAACTTACAAATTTCTAACCAGTGGAAATACTCTGGCAAGGAAGATTTACCACTGAAAGAAGAGTGGAGAACATTTACAGTTTGCGTCCTTGAGCACCAAGGACCAGTCTTCATTTAAGATCTTATTTTGAAACTTTTTACAGCTCATTTTCCTAGTACTGTTCCTTGCAGCCTCAAGTTCACTCTAATGGGAGGAAAAGTCTTTTATCTAAATTCCGACTTTAGGTGGACATAGAGTTTATCTAAATTCCTACTCCAGGTGGACATAGAGTTATCTGGAATTAACAACTGAAACAAAACAGGAGCTACTGACAGCTCAAAAAGGGAAAACCAAAATTTAATGACAGATTGATAAATAATAGTAGATGGGTTTGGAAGCCCCAGCTCTAATTGCAGGGTGGAGGAGGAGATACATTGTGGAATACCCAACAGGTTTCTAAAGAATCTGACTTGAAGAAAATCAAGATGTTCTATATGACCAGTATGCCATACTGGGACAGCATATCTGACAACCAAATGTATAATTGCTCTATAAAGGATTATACGTGCTGGAACAAATTGCCCTCCTTTACAATAAAAGAGTTTTTAAAATGTAAATAAAGGTGTTTAACTTCTGCATTAACATATGGATATGCAAATCCCAAGAGAGAGTTTGTATAAACATAACCCTGAGGTACTTGAAATTTCTTCCTATTTCAATTGAGTTTCCATGCAAAGATAAAGAGCACGTCCTTTTTAGTTGAGATTTAGAGATGGCAAGTGGAGACCTGCAAGAAACTTGTGGGATGGTTATCTCATTCAAAGATAAAGAGCACGTCCTTTTTAGTTGAGATTTAGAGATGGCAAGTGGAGACCTGCAAGAAACTTGTGGGATGGTTATCGCATTCATCACACCTTTTCTTCCTCTCCTCACCCCTACCTCTCTCACACTATTTCTCCCGTCTGCCCCCCTTTTCTTACTCTCTATTTCTCCTCCATGCATGTGACTTCCTCTCTTTTTCTGACCTGTCATCTTTCTCTTTGTTTTTCTGCCTCCCCACTTCATCACTCTCTCTTTCTGCCCCCACCCCATCATTCTTTCTTTCTGCCCCCATCACTCTCCCAGCCTCCTGCCTGCTTCATCTCCGCAGAGCAGCAGCAGCAGCAATGGCAGTGCTCCTAGCCACCCACCTGCTTCCTCTCCCCCCACAGCAGCAGTGGCCGCAGTCTGGGAATCACAACTGGAGCCTTGGGACAGTGAGGCTTGGGGTGGCAAGCAGCCTCAGCAGGGTATGATGCCATAGACTCAACCCTCCAAAACAGCCATTTTATCCAGGGGAACTGATCTCTGTTGCCTGGACAACAGTTCTAATTCTGGGTGATCTCCAGTCCTCACCTGGAGGCTGGCAATGGTGGTTCTCGTGGAGGAAATGGCTGGAGGGTGGAGTCTATGACATTACACCAGTCCAAAGTTCCTCCCCTCCTCAAATCCCACCCATTCCAGACTCCACCCCTCAAATGTCCATGAATTTCCCAACCTGGAGTTGGCAACCCTATTTCCTTCCCACCCAACATCAACCTACTTGGCTTTATCTGCCTACCTGGAGACCCCCCAGAATTACAACTGGACTCTAGACAGAGGTTTATCTGCCTGCCTCTCTGTCTTCTGCTTTCCATCTCCACCTCCCAGCCTCTACCTAGGAAAATTACAGTCTTTCTCCACAGTGGGAACCAAAGCAGCTTTCATTATTCCCTCCTCCTTTTTATCTGCACAACAACCCTGTGAGGTTG